CCTGGATCAAAACCTACCCTCCGCTCCGCTCCATCGCCAAACCAGGACCACACCTTGACGCATCCAACATCGCACTAAGAGTCCGATCGCCGAATGCCTCGTTGACTCGTCAACAAACAGCAGACAAACCGCGTCGAAGGGGGAGTGGCGCTTCCAAACAAACCGAAGCAACCGGCCGAACCGCCATCGATCGACCCGCGTCCCGCAGCCATACACGATAGAGCTTGCAACGTTGAAAAAGAAACAACCACCCATCTCCTCTCAAGCCACCAAGCCTGTCGTCTGGCACCTCTTGGACCCAAATCATCGCCGACTGTGTCTCTCCCCCTTTCCACATTTACTTTCAGGTCCTGTACCTGTCTCAACGCTCGATCCGCAACCTCGATTCTCCACCTCCACGCTCGAACCCCCCGAAATCGCCACGAGGCGCAAACGTCATTCTTGTCGCGGTGTGGGAGTCTGCTTGCCACACACACACACACACCTCCCGAGCCTCGGCTCGTAGCATCGCCGGCCACCTGCTGGGTCCGTCAGAGCAGGCCTCGTCCATAATAATTGGAACGGCATCTCCCCTTTGCCTCACGACCCATTGCGTATTCCTTCCAGCGACATGCCACGCGGACACTCCACAGAAACAATGCCGCAACAGCAGCAGCAGCAGCAGCAACAGCGGCAGCAACAACCCCCAATTCCCATTTCCATCACCATCTGCGGCGACGGCGGCTGTGGAAAATCTTCCATTACCTTGCGCCTCGTCCGTTCGCAATGGACGTCCGAGTATGACCCAACCATTGAGGACTCGTACTCGATCACCCGTCGCATCGACGGTCACACCTACCACCTTGCACTAACCGACACGGCCGGCCAGGAGGAGTACCGCGGCATGTGGGCGTCGTCAAACCTCGGTGCCGATGCCTTCCTCCTCGTCTACGATATCACCTCAAAGGACTCGCTCGACGCCCTGCAGTATTTCAACGATCTCATCGACATGGAGACCGAGACGCGCCTCGACAATGCCGAGCGCGCACGGCGCGCTGGGCTTCCGGCTGGCTATTCGAGGATCCATCCTGGTTCGGGCTCCGGCGCTAAGACCGTCGCACCCGTCAAGATTGTCGCCGGCAACAAGTGTGATCTGCAGGAGAGCCGCGTCGTCCCTGCCGCTACCGGCCTCGACTGGGCCCGCCGGCGCGGCTGCGGCTTCATGGAGACGAGTGCCCGGCTCGAGGTCAATATTGAGGAAACGTTTGCCCTCATTGTGCGCCGCGTCGTCGAGGCGCGCCGCTTGGCCGAGCTCGGTCTCGATCAATCCGACAGCATGGCCCTCGACCGGCGCGGCATGACGAAGCCGCTGAGCCCGCTACCGGGAACCGGGACAGGCGAGGCAGGCGAGGTTGACGACTCGAGCAGCAACGAGAAGAGGGCGCCTGGGCTGCGGGGGCCGAACCTGCACGGCGACCGCGTGGGTAGGGGGCAGGGCTCCATCTGGAAGAAGCTGCGATGTTGGTGAGTGGTAGGCGTGCTTTGTGTATTTGGTTTGCCAGCGGGCGCGCAGTCGATTCCAGCCATGAGCGATGAGCGAGCAAGCAGAGAGGCCTGACGGCGAGGAAGAAGCAGAGAAAGCAGGAGGAAGTGCAAACTTCACGGTTCATGATTTTCTTACACCCAGGATACCTATTGGGCGGGCGGCGTTTTGGTGAGCATGGTGATTTCTGGCGAGTGAACGAAACCAAAAAGGGGAAAGACAGGAGAAGCAGCTGTTGTTGTACAAAGCATCGTTGCTGCTTCGAGATGATGGGCCTTGGCAGGGCTGGGCTCGTGGAAGGAAGGTTTGGGCGCGAGACACGACCATGCCAGATGCGATGCGATGCGATGCGATATGCATCTCGATGTGGGGGATACCCACGGCGCCAGCGGCGGCGGCCAGGCAGCTGTTCCGCTTGCAGAAGTCAGATGAATGGAATCAATTGTTCAGTGGTGTGTTTGCAGCGTGCGATGTGTCTGCGCGAGTAAGTCTTCATTGTGAGTGGCACGCCAGCTGACTCGACCAGGATCAAGGAAAGACGACGACATAGTTCGACAATTCGCGGCGGCATTTCACGAAGACATCGAGCCAAGGAAATACACATTCATTAAAGAGCTATTGATACCATTACCACCAACGTCATTGTCGCATCTCACCCCTTGACAGCGCGCGCGCCTCCTAATGCTGCCACAGGCCGCGACGCCTCCACTGCCAGTCCTTGAGGAAGGGGGGGTCCAGCCCCGTCTCGAAGGCGACGTTCTTGGCGCGAATCTGCTCGTTGCGCAGGGTCTCCCTCGCGGCGGCACCGCGGTTGTGCAGACTCGGGATGCGGTCGATGGCGTCGATGGCGAGGCTGAAGCGGTCCGTCTGGTTGCGGATGGCCAGCTCGAGGGGCGTGTCAATGTTGCCCTTTTCCTTGTAGCCGCGGACGTGGAGGTTGGCGGCGCCAGGCCGCTTGTAGGTCAGGCGGTGTACGAGCCAGGGGTAGGAGTGGAAGTTGAATATGACGGGGACGTTGTCGGTGAAGAGGGCGGTCCACTCGGCGTCGGTGAGGCCGTGGGAGTGGTCGGTGTGGTGGATGAGCTTGAAGAGGTCGACGACGTTTGACGCAGCGGACCTTGAGGTCGGGGAAGTGCGTCAGCAGCAGGTCGATGGCGGCGAGGGACTCGTGGGTCGAGACGTCGCCGCACGAGGCCATGACGACGTCGGGCTTCGGCGCCGGCGGTCGGTGCTGAACTGCGGGCCA